ACAAACCGTCAACGGACTCCGTCTGTGGAACAAGAATTGGATAACCCTGTCGCAAAACCTTGCATCAGATCGCCGCGCCTGGGCAGCGATGATTCGAGATGTTCATGAAGCCGGCTCATCCTCCCGTAGGAGATAGCCGAAGTAAAGTAAAGTAAGTCAATTTGACACGGGCAAATCATGTAAGAAATATGCCTAACTATTCACTCAAGTTAGTTTCGTTAGCGTTCCCATCTAGAACAACTATTTAGTTCATCAACTGTATAACATAGAGCAAGTATGTCAAACGCAGCTACCACTAGCTGTATATCTAAGACAAAATTAAATAAGAAAAATGACACTAGGCACACCTGGTAGATACCATTGGATGCTGTCACCTGAAGTGCCAACCCCTCTCGTCAGGTCTTGAGTGCTTTGATTTGCATAATATCCAGACAATTATCACAACGCTTTCCATCTGACAGATTTGAATTCTGTCTTTGAGTCAAGGAATTCAGGCTCGTTCTGAAGGCTATTTAATGTCTGTGGTCAGTTACTGTCGTCTGACTATGAAATGTTTGTGTTTCTTTTGATTTGTTTAAGTCGTAGGAAAAACCCATCGAGACATTAGAGGGAAAAGAACAAGAAGTTTAGTGACACTGATATCTTTTCGGCGATTTCATTCTCAAACGTTGTGCAATCTCATTTTTATACATTAGTCTGCATAGATACAGTTATTATTTATTTAATTCCACTTAGTAAAGGAGGCGGTTAAGTGACATAAAAATTTCCCACTTGATATGAAAGTTTGAAGTTGTGGATACAGATTACAAGGGGCTTAGAGAGAAGATTACATAGAAGGTTACGCATCAATGAACAGTGTTCAGAAAATTACACTTATATAGCCTATACACAGACAGTTCAAGTTTAGATAAAAACAAAAAAACGATCAGCATAAATGGGAGGAACCTGAAAGAAACAACCTCCTTTACCTACCTAACTGGAAAGCATGGTTTCAACTACAGGCCAACGGAACTGACGAGGATATCAAAGCAAGAATCGGAAAAGCAAGACAAGCTTTCACTACTCTCAAGTCTGTGTGGAGGTCAACAGCACTCAGCATCAAAAATAAGATCCGGATTTTCAACTCCAATGTGAAGTCAGTGCCACTTACTATACGGATCAGAGACTTGCACTGCGCGTCACAAAGAGCATCTCAAACAAACTACAGACCTTCATCAACAGCCAGTTGTCTTCGCTCAATACTCAAGATCAGATGGCCGGCCAGAAAACATCAGCAACAGAGATCTCTGGCAATGAGCGAACCAACAAAGCAGGAACCGATTGTGAAACAAATAGGCAAGAAGCAATGGAGATGGATTGGCTGGCCATACTCTGAGGAAATCATCAAGTGAGTGACATCACTAGACAAGCCATTGCTCGAGTGGAACCCGAAAGGGAAGCGGCGAGTTGGTCGTCAGTGCAAGAGTGGGTGACTTGGAGGAGGTCATGTGAAGAGGAGATGAAAACGTGTTGGCAGACTTGGAGCCAGGTGAAAACTCTAGTAGAGAACCGAACGCAATGGAGACGCATGGTTGAAGCCCTATGTTCCTCTAGGAATTAAAGGAAACAATAATAATAAATGCTCGCGTACAATGGTAAAGGAGTTACGTAACAGAGACAAGAAGTGAGTAAGATGACGAGTAACTAATACATCGTCTTGTCTTTTGTCATTGCATCTAAGCATTCACTTTTGTTCACACTTGAACTTTCTTTGTTTAAGTGAAATTTTCCGATTAATATTTAATTAAATTTGGAGTCCCCTGTCAACTGACGTAATGTAAGATTTGCAGGTATGTGAAAAATTTGTTTCTGTACATGAACATAATAATTCCTTGATGAGAAGTCAACGAAATTATAGTACCGTGTTATTCTGCACAAACCGTTGTTCTTGCCTTATTCAAATTCATAAAGGAGAATAAATTCACCAAGTTTCTGATTAGACTGTATCAGATTCCTAGGAGCCGAGTAATTCTGTAGTGACTCGTGTCAATAATTCATCATCACTACCCTTAAGTTATTTGATCTTTCTCCCCTTTGCCAGCTTGAGCAGCTCTACTCCAATCCTAAAGTAAATTTACCTGATACCCTGCAATGATTGTCAGGTCAAATACATAGGTCAAAGTAGTAGAACAGGTGCAGTCAAACTAGCGGAGCACAAAATCCCATCAGCGAAATCTACATTAGTTGACCCGAGTAAGATAAGAAATCTGGAGAATAGTTCAGCAATAGCACTACACCACATGCAATTGCATACAAACTTACAATAGGATGGGATAGGATGACAGTTGTAAAGTCTAATGTGACAGGGCAGAGGGGGAGATTGATAACGGAGGCCTTATTTATCGAATCAACTGAAGAGAATAAGTGTAATAGGAATGATTCAACGCCTGTGGTAGACATCTAGAAAATTCTACTACTACGACAAATAGGAGAGAACAAAGAAAATTATAAAACTCAAGTTTCAAAGTCGTGTGATTATAACTGATGAAATGATTATGAACAGTAATACCCAGGTACTCCACCAGTGCGTTGGTGGCATAGAGGTTAGGACGCTCGCCGACCATGCACATGGTCCGGGGTTCAATTCCTGGCCGGCGCACTCCTTTGCCTTGTTAAGCCAGAAATAATGCTGGCGAAGAGGAAAGGTTGGGCATGAGGCTAGCAACCCCATCCTGTAAAATAAACACTGCTACAGAAACTTCAAGCCACTAGCTTGAAGCCCTACGTTCCACTGGGGAACGTGAAGGATAAAAAAAGAATAGTGTTCGAAACTTTGTCACCTAGTAAATAATACTGTCACTCCTACTGTGTGATATATCTAATAAACGAACTAATATGGAATTACTTACTACCACAGTGCCCAAGTTCTACACACATATATATTCACCTCAGACGCAGATAGACAGCATTTATATAGGCTATCGATATGCCTATCTGAGCTGCATGAATTAATTACATTTGACGATGCCCCCAATTAATTCAAATATTCAGACACGCACACCGACTGGGACAAAAGAACATTTTCTCGAAGTACCTTCAAATGTTAGGAAAGTAACCCCAAAGCTTAAGACATTGAAAATTGTTATGAGCTGCTAAATTCAAAATAAAAGAAAACTACCTCTAGAAACATGTCATTTATAAAACTAAGAGTGCTTAGGAATACAACCAAGTCGAAAACAATTTTTTAGAGGACAAAATACCACAGTCTATAAATCGTTTTCGCCTTAGTTTCACAATATTTAACCAGAAAACTGAAAAATAATAATAATATCACTAGACTGAAGTTGACTATCAATTAGTTTCTGTGAACAAGCGCGGAAATAGAAAGTACTCAATTAACAGAGTTATCCAATAAAGTGTTGCTACTTAACGCTGGTTATGTCTGTCTGTTTTCGACATAGAACTTTGCACATATGTGCGGCAGTTCAAGTCGCCACACTCCATGTAGCACACAAAGAAAGAGAAGAAAGTAGAAAAAATGCATATTAGAGACAGTAAACAGAAGTGTGAGACAAAGGAATAGTAATAACGAAGAACAAAACAGTTTAATTGGAAATCATAAGTCACAAGGAGTGGATGCATCTGCGACAGCCATTGAGAACGACGATTTCGAGCCATGTCACCAATTGTTTCCAACCATTGGTTTTTACCGTCCCGAGGACCCCAACCAGCCAGGAAGTCTACACCTTTCTACGTGGCTGGCTTAGACTAACTGTTGTAGATTTCATTGACTGGTGCCATGTTTTCGTTTGACCGCCGCTAGCTCTTTTCCAGCCTGACCCTATATCAGCTAACATCGACCGTCGAGGAAGACGATGCCTAGGTATACGTAACACACAAGCTGGTTATGCCAAAAATTGAAAAAAAAACAGATATTCTTCGTTGCAAGTTTGAAGAGAACTACATCTAGACAGTTTACTTCTGGCAGTTCATTATATGTGGTGAAGCGAAAAGAAAATGAGCTTAACAACTAGTCTTGACGACAACCGATCTATATATATATATATATATATATATATATATATATATATATGAGTATAAAACAAAAGCAGTGATTCTCTTAGGACCATGTGGACAGCACAAGGTTATCCACCAAACACACGTAAACAGCAGATATGTTGCAAATTCAATACTTGTTGACACACAGCAAAATATAGAGTGAAGTAGTATACTGCCTACAGGACATGCATAACAAAAGCAACACGGAGTTTAATGCCCTAAATGTGGTTCCAGTGTATTAGCAAACTGTCTCAGTGGTCCAATAGGGGTGAATTATAAAACATTTTTTGACCTACTCTGTTAAATTAAGAAAACCACTGAAACTGCTATGGGTGATTTCATTTTAACTAAAGAATATCTAAGGACTAAATTCTGGAGTCCTACGAATAAAGGAGATGACAAGCTACAATGTTCTCGACCGAGTTCAAGCTACTTTTGCCAACGGCTGGTTTATTAGAACAGACTCATAGAATTTCGCCGACTTCTCTTTGCATTAAAACAGACAACTTCCTAATAGCATGCGGATCTTTATCAACAACTGCCTTCTCTCCATACTGAGAGAAAGCATGGGCGGCAAGGTGATCTGGGAACAAATCAATCAAGAACCTATCCCCCTATGTTCTGCTCGGAACCCAAGAGAATGACAATAGACCCCACTAATTTAATTTTACGTGCTACATTAGAAACAACAGTCAAATGGACAGTCGGCCAAAAATAATAACCAATAGACAAGTAGAACACCGAGTGGGAATTCGGATACACTAGGTGCTAAGATAAATGACCTGTTGACATAGAACAATAGATTGCTGAGCATTTCCCACGCTTGATTTTCTTGTATCAGAAACCTATGCACACCAAGAAACAAACCCCTTCTCTAAGAATACAACATATTTCAAACTGTACAGTGCTTATATAAAACTTTTTATGTACAAGATGTGAGAAATTTCACAGCAATAAATAGTCTATACAATTGTCTCCTCTGATCTTATATATTCCCCAGCATCAGCTTGGTGGAAAAGAACTATTGTCATAGGATCTGTATTCTTCACTTGCAAAGACGATTTTGCTGCAACTCCAAAACCCTAGAAAAAGTTAGTAAAGAGAAGACGCATTACTATAGGCATATCACTCATATTCATGACGACCACACCAGAATATTGCGGTGTGTTGTCCGACATTTTGGCCAGTCCAGAACGTACGACATTCTGACCGTAGAGAAACTGTTGTTCAGCTGATGCCTTCAACCACACACGATATTTAGCGTAAGGCGCTAAGAAATCTAATGCAGTAATGTGTAGCCTGAACTTGTTAGTTTTCGAGAAGCGGCCTATGCAAACACCGAAGCTTAGCAGGTGCTTCCTTTGTATTGATGCTGCGTGTTTTGCAAGTGATGATCTAAAATTCATCACAAGATTTTTATTTACTCACCTACAATAAAACACCCGGTCCCTGTGCAAGTAAAATTCATACTTATCGTCTGTTCTGTTGAGCAACTCGTCAACATCTTTAATACTACAATTTTAATAAGATTATGTTTGCAAACATACTACTTCTGTAGCTTAGCGACAACCTTCTCAAACTCGTCCTTCTTTAAGCCTCGCATAGCGTTAGATTTAAATTTCCACCTCAATCTTCCAATATCCAATATTTCCATCACTCATCTGTAGAAACCTGTTGCTTACTTGGAGCTCATTTTCCGAAGTTTTGGAACTGTCCTCTGGTAAAAGCAGTGAGCTGTTTGTCACTCTCTCCTTTTGAAGGCGATTATGTGATACTCAGGATACTTGTCCTTCCGGATATGTTTAGAATAAGACAAGAAGACTTCCTGTGAGTTAAATGGAAAAGGAAGACAAAAATGAAAAGAACGAAGGAAAAAGAACACGCCAAGTGGTAGAGAGACGGGATATTGTGTCAACAGTCAGATAAATATTGATTTTTGTAGAGAACCTGATCCCTCAAACAAACTGGTGTGATCAAGGGAATCTGGCTTCAAGACCTGGCTCGAATGCAAACTCTGACAAATATAATTAATTTTGATCAGTCTGAATTTTAGTTGGCGCTACTGAATCGGTCAACAGTTTGACTTTGAGTCAGTTAAGTCATCGCACCTTATCAGTAAACTCCAAAACTGAAGAAGACGATATTATGAGCAGTGGTCCTAGTTGTGAGGGGTCTGGCATTTGTGTGCACGAGAACTTATGCCTAAATGACTGTGTCAAAAACCAGTCCTCTAAAATGGGATTAAATGAGTGACATTGCATCGAGAAGTGAAATTTCATTGTTGACAGTCTTAAGTGGTGAGAGTTTGAAGATCGCCAAACCTCTCCGAGCGCAACACGAAGTCATCTAACTGAATAAACAGCTTGAATAAGTGAACTGAGTAGAATAGTCCAATTGGCTCGGAAAACCTGGATGGTGTCTTTATCGCACAGCCGTGACTAACACGTGAAATGAACGGCAGTGAAAATGACTTTCAAAACCTACAAAACTCGTCAGAGGACAGGCCGAATACGCCACAGACGCAGAGGAATAATCGATTACTACAAAAAAAGTCTCAAGCTTCACACAGCCAAGTTGTTGTCGAGCTCAAGAGTGGAACATGAGAACTTATACATCACAGACTAAAATGCAAGGGAAAAGACAGTGAAACACCACAGCTCCGATAGCGCGGCAGGTGACCACACCATAGAAGGATCTAGCTTATGAACGTTTCGTACAATTTGTGTTATTAAGGCCCCTTTAAGCCGGTTGAAAATATCTCAAGACACCATTCTCATACAATCCTTGTGGCCGCAAGCCGATAGAATCTTCTGTTTAACTGATTTTGGGCCTTTCTGTCAGTGCATTATGAATTTCAGCACTCCTGTTTAGCTTTCGAACTGGTCTTCTCCCACAGTGAGGACGTGGATTTAATGCAACTCAGGCAGGCATATGGATAACCCATACTACACATGATCTTAGCTCAGAGAGCCGAGAAGCGACCTCATGAAAGGACTGTATCCTAGATCTGGAAGCTCACATCGAAGCTACCTAAAATCAGCTTAAGTAAAGGTCAAAAACATTTCTTAACAGCTTGGAGGCAGCTCAAGAACAGCAACTGAATGCTTACTTCCTAGGGTGACCTTAACAGTATGTTAGATTAGTTCAAATGGATACTCCTCATCAACGTAGTGAAGCGTTCAACTGTGCGTATCGGGCAGGCAAGTGTCAAGAAATACAACGCAGAGGGAATACTATTTCTGGCTCAAACAGATCTAAGCATCATCGTAAGTCAAGGCATTATATCTACGGCACACTGTCGGGCAGGCTGCATCTAAGCTATGGATTTTTATGAGCAGTCTGTAGGGTCTTTGTTTGAATTTACTGTGAAATGTTTAGGCATATATGTATGGAGGTTAAGACTAGAAAACGTCTTCGAGGCTGCAAACCCTCACGGAAATTCGGGCACATAAATTCTAGAAATAGAAGTTTATTTATATTTTTATCATAATAATAGGATATATATCAATCCCAGCTGTACAGACATGGATAAGTATTATTTAAATTACATAAATTTGGTTTATGGTGATACCGCATGGTTTGTGTTCATTTTGTCATGAGTTTGTAGGAACAATCTTCTAACTAGTCATTCAGTGGAGCACATCAAGAAATATAGAAATATTGTCTTCGCATTAACAAAAGCCCAGTTATGTGTTGTATGGATAACAAATACTTGGGGCCTGATAATAAATACCAGTTGATTTTGAGTAGGTCGAAGTTTGCTCGTATGATCTTATGCCAGTATGGAAGAGTGGATACTTCACCCAGTGCATTAATGAGTTGGGTCTCTTAATCGCTCAAAGTGCCAGTTGCTCTGTAGATACATCTTATAGGTAATGTAGCAATTTTGAAGTATACGTTGATCCACAGGATGTCGTGCATACCGTCGAGTTCTTTAGTTTCTAGCTGCAATAAAGTGTGTTCAGGAAGAACATTAGGTGGCCCTGAGCGTCGGTTGTTTGTTTGGGATAGATCTAGCATTATTAAGGATTAGGTAAAGTTGAGAGTTGAAGTGTTTAAGCTCGTTAACCAGGTTTAAGTGCAGTTCTGGGGCCAATGGTTCCAAGTGGCATAACAACTGTGTGTTACAATTAGTCTCAGTACCATGTTCACGTATGTCTTTCGTGTTACTAACTACTTCTTTTAGTGAATAATGAGTTTTATACATTCGATGTGAATAGTAATTCCATGTGCACTAGACTGTGTCTGTTTTCTTCCCTATAGGGAGCCGATATTTGTGGTATGGGTCCAGGAGAGTTGACATCCCCACCGGCTTGGTCAGCGCTGACAGGATAAAAAATCATCGGTATCTTGCAATGCCCATGACTTATTAATCTGCCTAATGTTTGGAGACACTCTTAGTGTCCTTACATGGATTTCATTATATGAACTGCTGCACTGTGGTTTGATTCCCAGGAGACTTGTTCCATATATTCTGTCAAAGTTTGTGTGTCATACATTGAAGATCCTGAGTGGTTGGTAGCTGAGCTCTGAGTATTGTTGTTTGTACCATTTTGCGTGATGGTGTTGCTACACTGGCTATTAGTGTGACTTGGCATAGTATGCGAGTATGTTCTGACGTTACTGCCCGTGCAGAGTATGGCCTTATTTCTGCTTTCAGTGTGGTTGTCAATATTATTTTGTGTCTCATTTCACATGCAGCGTGGATTCTTGTTAGAAGTTTGAAAACATGTGGGACTTTTCGTTACGAGTGGTGTATTTCGGCATGTTTTGTTACCAAATTCCAACCAAATTCTCACGTTATGGCTGGGGGAGGATGTTGTCGGCCTACAGGAGGTATTGATTTCTGCCTAATGGCTACCCAGAGACACATTTAGATCCATGGTGGAGTGTGGATGGGCTAATTTAGGAGAAGGATGATAATTCACTAGCTTTTTGGCCGGTTTCATGTGCTGCAGAGCTACTTTTGTGAGATTTGAAAGGGGGAGACTATAAGTTCTACCATGTTGGCTGTGGGTTTACCTACTTCGGTGGCTCTCAGTGTCGTACACATCTTACCATTAGGTTTAGTGACGTGATTGCAAGCACGCCTTTCAATCACTGTCTTATCTGAAACAACTTCGTCTGCGACTCGTATACTGAAGTAGGATACATTGTGAGTTGATGAATTTTTAGCCTCTGTTTCGAAATTAAGGCATCTAGGGCAGCATTGGTCGTGCTGACACCTTTTCAGTCTGCGGTACTTTGTTTGGGAGTTAGGTATTTTCACCGCCCTAAGATATTCTGAGCGTTTCTCAACCCCTCATTATCCGGCATATTGTAGACTACCACACTTAGTTTTGTACTTAGTCTTTTGATGACCTCTGTTTGACGAAGTTTATTAAAATGTCCATCGTGGCTGCCGATTCTACGCCAAGTTCGCCAGGATTATGTTTCTGATCAGGGTGTTCAGAGGTGTAAGTTCACAGACCTGCGATTTTATGCCACTAATCTGCTTTGATAGTTCGGATATTCTGGCTAGATTTTCCGAACATTCTGCATCCATAGCCTTACTACACCTGTAACTCGCGTCTCAGTTTTCTGCTCTTCTACAGACAGCTTACACGTTCTGTTTCTGAAGTAGGTGTTAGTGCTGGACTCGGTATCTGGAGTTTCGTGACGCTTACACAAGGTGTAGTGAAGAGGTCTATGTCAGGAATGAGTGCTGAATTTGTTGAAGCGATGCCACTATTAGTTGTCAGCGTGCTTTTGCTGTCAGTTACAGCCACAATATGTGGTACTGACACGACAGCTGGAGGCTTGCGGCGCATTGGCAAGCTGTGTGACTAACTTTCATTTTCTGTGGGGGCTGTGTTGCTCGTTGTTGCAAGCAGATATGCGCTATCAGTAATCAGGTTAACAGGTGACTCAGTTCAAGGGATAAACCATAACCAATTAGTGAAATAGATATTGGTTACAGCTGTGGAACTGCAGAAACACTTGTGCAATTCTCATAACAGAAATCGACATATATAGCGAATCACGCTAAATGTAACACAAACGTTGAACGTACCGGTCACATAGCTTGATTCCATGCAGCACCTTCGTAAAACTATGTAATTTTCAGTATGTGACATCGTAAGCCCAAATTTAACAGGCCGACGATTGATATAAGGTGTTCGTCGGCTGTTGGTTGAACCCCAAAACATGTGCATGGTCGGTGAGCGTCCCAACCGCTGTGCGCCTGCTATACTTTTTTCGCCAGTTTCTTGATTGAGCATTGGGTAGAGTCCTGGAAAGTAATGAGTGATATTAAATTTAGTTATTACTATCACGTATACTTGAAGACAACTAACTGTAGAACATCGAGCTCGTTTCTACGTAACAAGTAGGACCCTATCAGACTGAAGTCAAACGTAGCTGCCTCTAACTCTATACCAATGACAAAATTAAATATGAAACCTGGAACTAGGAACACCTGGTAGATACCATTGGATGCTAACACCTGAAATGCCAACGCCTCTCGTCAGGTCTTGAATGCTTTGATTTGCATAATATCCAGACAATTATCACAACGCTTTCCGCCTGACAGATTTGAATTCGCGTATGAGAAACGAACACACCACACTAGTCAGCCCTGCGAGGGTACATGCTCTTACAGAAATCCTAAAGAAG